TAGTTAAAATTATTTGATGCCCCTCAGTGGAAATAAGAGAATCCACTTTTCAAACCTCGAGCCATGTGCCAGTGCTTCCGTATGCTCCCACAGCAGACAGCAAACATGCTACTGGAAAATTAGCCCAAAGAGCAGAAATGGGAGAAACCTCATCCTGATTTCACCACACTGCCCGAGCACTGCCCCCCTCTGCAGTGCCACAACCCCTTGCCGGCCCCACCGCACCCCCATAATAGAGTCCTGGAACTATAACCACTTCCAGGAGAGGGTTGTTCAGTGGCTGACACCCATTCATACCTTTGTTTCTGGAGGCTTTGCAGAGGCCCCCAAGAAATGTGCCTACAGCGGACACCCACACGTGCTGAGGCGCTAAGCCAGGCCCCGATTATGTCAAATTAGGACATTGCCCACACGAAACTATGCCTCACTGTAATTTCAGCCAACGTCTGCAACCTGGGCACGTCGTCTGCTGATCCACACATATTTCTATACCACTTGAAGCCATATCATTTTCTCGGTTTATTTTTCGCAAGAAATTCATTTAAAGTGGGGAAAAAATAATAGAAAAAGAACAACAGCCCAAGAAAAACCGCCTAGGAACGCTAGTCTCTGAAGAATATTTCAAACGTGACATATTTATGCTCAAAGGTTTGGTAGCAGAAGTGAAACCCCTGGGCAAAGCTCAGTGAAGCTACGGGCCGGTGGATCAGGCAGCACTCCTTACGGGGTGTTCAGGTCTACCTAGCACTGTAAGGAAACCCTTGATTTAGAAGGAAGCAAAATCGTGGGTAGCCTAAAAAAAGCCAAGAGGACGAGAAAGAAAAGAATGGCGCATTCCCGTTCCCAGCACCACCCCCACAGGAGCTGAAGAGGCGTTTGCAGAGCGGCAGTGCGGCAGCGGGGCAGGGTCCGGCCACGCTCCGCTAGGGAGCAGGTGGCAAATGCCCCGAGGGGCTGACCCAGGCACTCCCCTCTGCCCCCGTCGCATTCCCTTCCCTGTCCCTTCGCCTTCCTCTCCCACAGTGCGCACTGCGTCACCGCCACGGGACGGACTGAAGGACGGAGCGGACCCGATGTTCCCGGTCCGTGCGTCCACCCCGTCGCGGCGGGGAGATGAGGGCATGCTCCGTGGGTCGGCTGAGCCCGGAGCATCCCTAGGGCGAGTGAAGCAGCCTCACGTCGGGTTAGATTTCTAAATTTTATTATAAAATAAAAGCAGAAATATCTTCCAAAGAATGTATTCACATAATATAAACAATAAACAAAACTAAGGTCGAGTGACTTGCGGTTGATACTGTCGGTTAGGTTTAAACTTGAGCAGCGATCTTTCTTCCCTTCCCGAACCGGGCCGGGCCTCCCCTCCTTCCCACCCTGTAAATGGCGAAAGCACCACACGGCTGAGGCTGAAGCAGCCGTCTCTTTGCATAGCGTCAGCTACAAGAAGGTTACAGAGTCTGCCTAGTGCGTGTTGCTGCTATAACTTGACTACAATTTTTTGTATTCTTAGTTGCGGTTGTACATCGTACACCTGCAGCGGATACATAGCTACAATAGGATAACGGGAGCGATGCGGGACTCCAACCGGCATTCCTTCCCAGCCCTCCCCCCCCCCCAAAAAAAAAAAATCACCGCGCTCCTCTATGCGTACGGAGCGCGCCGGTAGGTGACAACACCGAGAAAGTCGTGAGGAGCTGCGGTGCGACCCGGAGGGACAGCCCCGGCCCTGTCCCACCGCCCCGAGCCCTCCCCGGGGCTTCTCACGGCGCTGTTGCCCACGGCCCGGACAGCGGCCGGGGGGCGCGGCACGGCTCTGCCGCTGAGGGCTTTGTCATCGCTTACAGTCTCTGATAAGATTAAGAGGGAAAAATAAAGGAGGAAGAAAAAAAAAAAATCCCAAAAACCAACAAAAACGGAGAGAGAAAAAGAGAGAGTAAAGGAAGTGCGAAGGAGGGAGCGTGTACGCGGTTTTAAGAGCCCAGATCGACCAAGTTGGATGACATGGGGTTGAGGATGGAGTCCTGCAAGCTGTGGTGGTGCATGGGGTCGGCGCTGGGCACGGGGATGGCGCTGGGGCCCTGCGGGTGGCCCAGGCCGTGCAGGGGCTGCAGCCCCGGGTTGGAGCCGAGCAGCAACGCGGGGCTGGAGGAAGTGTGGTCCGGGGTCCCTGACGGTGTCTTCTCGTCCTCCGAGCTCCCCAAAACTGTCTTATTCCCGTTCATTGACGCCGAGAGCGGATTGTGACTGTTGGAGTTGGAATTCTCGTTGTTTTCCCTAGAGGAAACACAAAAAGGAGGGAAGTCACCGGGTGGCACCGCGGGAGCGGTACCGGGGGGGCAGCCAGGAGGTGCGGAGCTGCACGTTTATAAACTGCGGACCTTCGGGGCCTCAGCATCCTCCGCAAAGGTCTGAAGGCCTCCGGGCGTGTCGCTCGGGGCTGCCGCTCGCCCTGCGGAGAGGTACTGAACCCGAATGATATTTTCTGCGCCCTTCTATCGCAAAGAATTACACGGCGCTGGGAGGGAGCAAGTGGGGAAGAAGGGGAGGGGAAGAAGAATGCAAAGTAAAAAAAAAAAAAAAAAAAGGCATCTGACTTTACAACTGCTCCCCGAGCTGAACTGGAGCTCAGCTGCGGCTTTCCGCGGGAAGGCCGAATGGTACTCCGCGTTAAATCCCTCCTTTTGCTGAAGTAAGCGGACATTTCCTCCTTCGTCCTAAGCATAAAACTCAAAACATCGCCCAATAAGGAAGCTCAGGCAGAGCCCACAGCTCTCTCGCCTCTCTCCGATCCCTCCCGCCTCCCCCCCCGAGGCGGCCGCTCCCAGCGAGCAGAGGGCTCAGCGCGGGGCCCCGCTGCTGGCGAGGGGAGCCGGTCCTGGGGCCGCCTACCTGGGGCTGCCGTTCGTGGGGCGCGGGCTGTCTCAGGATTCTGCACCCGGGAAAACACCCAGAAATGGCTGGAGGCTTGCCAAGCCCCTTCGAAATATGGTTTTTTTTTTTTTTTTTTTTTCTTTCCCCCCCCGAAATAAGAGGGGTAGGACGGGGTGGAAGTGACCGTACTATCAAGGCTAACACAACTTTCAGACATAGTCCCCGCAGACACAGCTCTGCTTGAAATTCTGAAGGCATTTCTAGCGTATTCAGGAGCTTCTGTGGGAGCTACATTGCACTGCGTGCAGAAGGCCTGAGCCCGCAGGGTTTGCTCAGGAGCACCGCACCGGCATTGGCTGCTCGCTGAGGGCCGCGGGATGGGGCTGAGACTCTTTATGCCAAAAAAATAAAAATAGAAAAGAGAACTCTGTTCGAACAAGTCGCTCGAGTGAATGGCAATCCTATTTTTCCCAGTGCCTGGAGGGTAATATTAGGTGGAGCGTATTTTTCAATGTCAAAAATTCTTATTTGTCTCTGGAGACTTTTAAAACTTGATTCCTCTGGAAAAAAAGAAAAAAAATTAAAAAAAAAAAAAAAAAAAAAGGAATTGACTAAGCGTAACCTTCATTTCCTTTTTTCCTTCGGATATTCGAAGGTGAGTCCCTGCTATCAGCAATAAATGGGATCTCTGACATGTAGTAAAACCAACGCTTATGGGAATTTGGGAGAAAATTAAAGCCTCGGCGCTGTCTGTGGAGACACACGGAGCAGCCCGGCGCAGCCATTCCCGAACCGCGCTGAGCGGACGCGTGAAAAGTGGTCCCCGAGGCGCGGACCCGCGGGCGACTTCTGAGCCATCCACCATCGCGCGGCCAGACCGTGAGGGTGAGCTGAGAGGGGGCACAGCGCAGTCAGGAGACGTTTTGCTCTCCCTCGAGCCTCCGTCCCGGGGCATGGGAACGGCTGCGGGAAGTCTTCCCGAATACCCGAGTACATGGGCATTAACCTCCGCCCGGCAGCGGATGATCCCTCCGATTCATTTAACGGGAAAATCACAGCGCCAGAACTACGATCGTTACGGTCATACCTATATCTAAGTACGAATCCATGAGTACTTCGCAGGGAAGCGAATACAAACTACAGCGTAACGAGCACGTAAAGAAATCAATCCCTTCGGTCCCTGCCTCGCGCAGGGAGCCGACAGCAACCTGCGGGCAGCCCCTTCCCCTTCGGGCTTCGGAGCCACTCGGCTCCGCCGTCCCCCAACCCCGGGCCGCCCACAGGGACGCGCTCCGACGGCTGCCGCACGGCGCTACTCCCGGAGCTCTCCCCTCCTGGCCTGGCCTCGTCGAGGCCGTCCCGGCGAAAGCGCAGCCGGGATGGGGAAAGCCGCGCGGGCCTCGCCGACACTGCTACACCACTTGGGCGGCCCTCGCAGCGCGGGGCGGCATCGTGGGGGCCGGGGAACGCGGGCGCGGGGTGAGCCGTACCTTTCCTTGGCCTCGGCCGCTCGGTCCCGCTGCCGGCGGTTCTTGAACCAGTTGCTGACCTGCGTGGTGGTGAGGCCGGTGGCCTCGGCCAGCTCTCGCTTCTCACGAGGGGACGGGTAGGGATTGTGCGCGTACCACTCACGGAGGACGCTGCGGCTCTTCTCCTTGAAGCAGTAGCTGGTCTCCTCGCCGTCCCAGATGGAGCGGGGCAGCGGGAACTTGCGGCGCACCCGGTACTTGCCCACCGCCCCTAGGGGTCGCCCCCGCAGCTTCTCCGCCTCGATGTAGTGCGCCTTGAGCCAGAGCTGCTGCAGCTTGGGGTGGTTGTGCGCTGAGAACTGGTGGCTCTCCAGGATCTTGTAGAGCTCGCGGAAGTTGCCCCGATGGAAGGCCACCACGGCCTTGGCCTTCAGGACGCTCTCGTTTTTGTGGAGGTGCTCGCACGCAGGGAGGGACCAGAGGAACCGCCCCAGCCTCTCGATGTTGCCGCCTTGCTGGAGCACCTCGCAGACACAAGCCACTTGCTCTTGGGTGAAGCCAAAAGTCGGGAGCATCGACATGGTGAGCCCTGCCCCGCCGCGCACCCTACGGCCGCTCGGTGGGGCGGCGGGCAGTGGCCGGCATGCGGGGCCGGCCCCGGGGCAGTGGCGCCCGGCGGGGCCCGGCGGGACTCACGGCCCGGCGCGGGGGACCGCGGCCATCGGCGGAGCCCGGCCCCGGAGCGGGGCGCGGGGAGCTGCTGAGGAGCGGTGCTGGAGTCGCGGAGCCCGAACGCGGAAGGCTTTTTCCCGGCCGCCTCCTTTTTGTAAGTCCGAGTTGCGAGAGTAACTTTGTGCCTCTTTTGTCTCCTATCTGCAGCGCTCGTAGCGGCCGCGGCTCTCCCACCCCCACCCCCCTCGGCCGCCGGTTTGGGATCTCCCTGCTTCCCCCCCACCCCCCTCCGCCGAAAGATCCCACATAATATAGCGGTAAAGTCCCGCTCCCTCTCTCCTCTCCCTCTCGGAGTTTTCCCCCCTTTCTTTCTTTCTCTCTCTCTCTCTCTCTCTCAGCCCCCCCCCCCCTTTTTTTTTTTTTTTTTTAATAATATTATTCTAAGCTGGCATGAAAAGTGATTATCCGCGCTGTGATTGGTCCGGTTATCTGACCCGGGGACTGCCAGGAGAAGACAATAGTTTTAGTCAAATTATTTGCCATGGTGACGCTGTCAATCAGGGGTAACCCGATCTGTTTTGAGGTGGCTCCCCGGCTGGGTTGACAGATTGCTCAGATCCACTCCGAGGCGGCCCCGCGAGCTGAGATATTGGCTGGCGAGGGAGAAACTGCCGCCGGGATTGGCGCTGCGGGCGCCCGTCCGGAGCGGGCAGTGGGGAGCGCTGAGCCGCCGTCGGGGCTCCGCAGCCCGGGCTCTGCTCGGCCCCGGCGGCTGCGCAGGGAATAACCGGGCGGGCCCTCGCTGAAAGTTTCTTTCTAAATGCACTTAACACCCTGTCGCAATAGGCTTTATAGGGAAGGGACCTCTAGGGTACAATAGGGACCCTGTTCACCACCGGAGTACCGTCACAGGCCAGCACTACCTGCCCTCCGGGCCCCAGTCAGGCATGGCCGTGGCTGAGCACAGCCTAGATGACTGCAGCCCCGCTAGATGAGACTTTTCTGCAGCAGAGCATTTATTTCTGCTTCGGTTTTAGCAGCGTGCCGGGGTGTTTTCACCCAGGGGCACGGAGAAAAGTTAAAGGCGCTTCCCGTGGTGAAGCTGTCCCGCATCGTCCACGTGTGCCCTACGCACGGCAATTTTAGATCAGTGCCTGTGTGGTGAGGGGAGGACCTTTGCCTCTTCCAGTAGCCCTCGGGACACGCAACGAACGCGGATGAGCTTATGCGGGCCGAATGGGAGCGGAGCGGCCAGGCAAGGGTCCCCCAGGTGTCTGCGGACTTCTCGGTCGGACAGGAACTGGAAGTCCCGGCTTCGGGCACTCGAGAGGAACCCCTCGGCCCCAGAAGTAGGACGCTTCTCACTCTCCTTAATGCTTCGATTGTGGAGAAAGAACAAGAATAACGAAACCAAGCTCTATGCCATTTACAACCCCAACTGGAAGCTGTCTGCAGCTGTGGGTTCCCGACGCGAAATCTTTTTGACACCGCCCAGCTGCACCCCAGAGCTCTACAGGCTGACGAGGCAGCAGGCTCCCATCCCCACAGCCAGACCCCCCGGCAGGAGCCGGGCCGGGCACAGCTGCTCCCCCGGGGAGACGAGGGCGGGCGGCGGCGGCGGCGGCGCGGCTCGGACGCTCCTGCCGGCTGCCGGCCCGGAGCCGCGCCAGTGTGAAGGGCGGCGGGGGGGAGAGAGAAGGAAAGGGGAGGGGGAGCAAGTCGAGCTCCTCCAGCCCCACCGCATCCGGGACGCTGTGTGGCTGGGTTCTCTTGGGTGAGCTCCGCTTTGGAAGCCGCACGCCCTCCTACCTGCCCGAGACGCTCCCGGGGGTTGCTGTGCAAAACTGTGTAAGTCTCGGCCCGGGAAGCGGAGCTGAGGGAGGCTGCCTCTGCAGGGCACGGGGAGACGCAGTGCAAAATCGTTTCAAACGAATTCGGGAGTGTCAGTGTCGGCTCAGCATTGCCCCCTCTCACGGGTTTCCCTCCGCACCCCATAGAGAAAAAGCAGTCCGGGTCTCGGCGCCGGCCGACTTCAGCAGGGCTTAAACTGTGCTCGTTCTTTAGCGAACGCGACCTGAGCTCCGCGCTCCCCACCCGACCGAGAATTGCTCGCAGCTGCGGCCGCAGAGACTCTCGCGGGGCGGGAGAATAGACTCTCGGAGCGCTCCCCCGAGTACGCATTGCGAGGGGAGCTCCTAGCCCGACCCCTGCGCTCTCATTAGGAGCAATTCGGGAAGGAGAACGCGGCTCCGTCCCGCGACCGGGACCGTGGCAAAAGACAAAAGAGGGGCCCGGGCTGCCCCCCCACTACGCTGTGCTCTGTCGCTGTGCGTGTATAGGGGGTATACCTGACTCTGCTTCCTCTCCTTCTATTCCATAACCACAGCACTTGAATCTCAACGGGAGCAGCTGTTCGCCCTAGCTAGAAAGGAGCTGGCAAAACCTGTTGCATGAATATAGAGCTGAGAATGTCTCTTCTTAGCTTCCTACACGTGAGTACGGACCCTATACCAACCACTTCGCAGGCGCTGCAGGTTCGGGCTGCGCCTCCGGCATCGCTCCCGCACGTCCCGCAGGCCGGGTAGGGCAGGGCCGCCCCTTCCCCACGCCGCGCAGCAGAGCGGTGGCAAATTGGTGACATCTGGCCCCGAATGCTGTGGAACCTCTTTTAACTTTAGAGAAGGAAAAATCTTCCTGAACATGTTAGGAAAGGGAGCAGATCCCGACTGCAAAACCACGGCGCGGGGCGAGGCCGGTTGTAGAGCCTTGCGAGGGAACGAAACGACCGGGCGAGGAGCTTTTTGGTGTCGGCGAAAGGGCTCTTTCGCTGCAATCATACCGCGGAGTGAGTGACCCGAGCCGCCTGCTGATCGTGTCCTCACCCCGAGGGAACTTTCTGCCGGGTCGCCGTCGGCTCTCCCCGTGCAGCAGCAGTCAAAGGATCTCCCCGGGCTGAGCGAGGCTCTTGTTTGGCACAGGAGCCCTAGCTTCGTCCCGGGCCCGTTCGCGTCCCCATACCCGGCCTCGGCCGCGCTCCCTGCCCGAGTGTGACTTCACTGGAGCGTGCAGGACTGGCGGTGCCAGCGCGAATCCTTGTGAAATCTAAGTGAAATAAACCAAAAAGCCGTTTTTCTCGTAATGCTCCTTTTATTGAGCAGGGCGCGGGAGAGCTGAGGGGAGGGAGGGAGGGACGCCCGAGCGTGTCGCTTCCAGGAGCCTCTCTCGCTGCACGTAACCGGTTTGTGTCTGTACGTGAGTGCCAATACAATGCCGAAGTTATGTGACAGTCTCCCTCCCGGCTGTGTCTCCTCGCAGCCGGCCGCAGGTCTGCACCGCGCCCTTGGCAGATGATGCGCCTTTGCCCGGACTGCCACATCCCTCCTGCGTCTCTTCCCACAGCCACCCGAGGAGAAGGGTGCAGAGGGCTTTCGGGGCTGGTAGAGAGTAAAATGCTGAACCCCGAGGTGTTCCTATAGCCGGAACAAAGCACATCTTCCTCACGCACGTCCGCTACCGTGGAGAGGATTGTAGGGAGAGCAAGCAAGTGCTCCACGTTCGTGGTTTTATGTTTCTTTCTTTCTTTCTTTTTTTTTTTTTTTTTTTTTTTTTTTTTTTTTTTTTTTCATTTTCCTTTCCTTTCCTTTCCTTTCCATCAGGACGCAACATGTATTCCCTTCTAAACCAGGGTGCTCTAACTTGGGTGAAAACCTGCTGCTCCTTCTTGCTTTCCATGGATCACAACGATCCTTAGCAGCACCTTGGGCCTGCATCTTCCCCCTGAGCACCCCTCGGCCCGCCCTCGACTGCCCCAACCGTGCCCCAACTCACGGCCATGGCACATCGTGGAGCATTTGGGAATTTCTCAGCCTGAAGCCTCGGGTTTTCTCTCCCGAATTATTTATTCACGTTGCATATTTACTTCAGCTTTTTGTTTCCGAACAAACCGGAGTCTGTCCCATCACAGATGGCCGGAGACAGACTGAGATCCCGTCCCGACGGAATATGAAAACACGGCGAAGGATCACCGCGAATAACTCAATTAAGATGAACAACAATAGCTTGTTGTTCTGTGATTTGGGGCGAAAGGGCTCACTGAAAGCTGCCTGAGTGCGCTGTTCCTCGGGGCGATCCGCCGAGGATTCTAGATCCGCAGCGGGGCACTCGCTTATGCCATCAAACCCGCTTGAAATAAAGCTCCGGAGGCGGCGGGGTGCTGCGGGCGGGGGGCCCAGACACGGCCCTGCTTCCCGGCCGAGCAGCGCACTCCCTCCCATTGCCTCCGTTGGTGCTGCCCTTCCTCATTACCTTCGCATTATCCCCTCTCAGTCTTGGGTGCGGGGCTCAGGATTTTCACTTAGTCCTACCAGCAGCACCCCGACACACAGTGCCAACGCGTATTTAGGGATCCCCGTCTCACAGCTAGGCTCGGGTCCTGCGGAGAAGGGACACCGCTTGGGGGCGGCCCGGAGACAGGGGATGTGGCCCCGTCTACCCTGGGCCCCGCAGGGCCTCGGATGCTCCTCGGCACGGGGGGGACCTTCAGCAAAGGCACGAGGCTCGCAGACAAGACAACAACAGCAGCAGGCACATATGGTTAAAATAAGGAAAGAGAGCCTTTCGCCTCAGGGGATTGGCACTAACTAGCCAGAAATGCAGGGTACTGCATCCAAAGTTCTGGTGGGCTTCTGCAGGATTGACAACTGAAATCATGCTACAAGCATCACTTTGACAATATTTGTAAACTTCGTGTTTCCCGGGATCTTCTTGATCAGAGCTATACCAGGCTGGTATGAGCTCAAGCCACGATGATCTTTTTTTTTTTTTTTTTTTTTTTTAATTCCTCCTCCTTTCCCCTCTTCCGAGTTGATGAATAGCGATCAGGTTTCTTTTAATGGCTGCCCCCTATTCTCACAGCCTCCCACAACTAACCCGAGAGCCGGTTTCCTCGACCTCAGTTAATTCCACTGATTATTCCAAGATGATGAGGAAAGCACGAAGATTGTTCACTGCTCCTACCGATTTCAAGCATTTTTGTTACCATCTCCATCCCCGGCTCACGGGGATTTAACCGGGCTGCATTTTTAGGATCGGGCTGCCCTTCCCCTCCCTTCTCAGCTGATATCCTCCTGCTCGTGGCTCACTGCTCGGTGGCGGCGCAACCCTCGGGCTGGGGCAGTGGTTGGGGTGTTCCTGGATGGGGATCGGGGGTCGTCAGAAGGGAAGCAAACCTCGGGTCGTCCCCCGTCGTGCCAAGGTTTTCGTTTCCCCCATAGAAACGAAACCGGCTCCCTGCCGCGGGCTCTGTGGAGGCCGTCCAGGAGGGCCTCTGGGGGAGATCCACTCCAGAAGTCTCACTAGAGGGCTCTGATACTCAGCTCCGACCGCTGCTCGGTGAATGCAAGGCTCCGTTCTCACTGTCTCGCAGCCCGACAGCTCTCCCCCGCGCTGCCGAAGGTGCTCCGCGCGGCGTCACCACTTCCAGAAATGCCTTGTCTGCATCCATCCCATGCAAAAAGCGAGGATAGTGGCCCCCAAAGCATCCCAAGCTCCCACTTTGCATCCATGACGCATTTATCCTTGTCAAGAATCAGGGAACGATTGGTATTTACAGACAGGTAACATTTCTTTTTCTCACTAGAAGGAGGATCTTGTGTAAGTTCTTCCATGGTCTACTGAGCTCATTGTGCCTATAAATACACCTAGAATTTAATTCTGCAGGGCTGAGGCAAGCTGGAATGCAATGCAGCATTCACAAGCAACACACATGGATATGTGAATGTCAAAGACCAGAAACCAAACTACTCGGAATCTGTTTCCACTAGGGATTTCTTTCTTTCTTTTCTTTTCTTTTCTTTTTTTTTTTCTTTCTTTCTTTCTTTTTTTTTTTTTTTTTCCATTTTAAACAACTTCTATCATTTGCTGTTGTCAACAAATAAAACCAAACCAGCCTCTATCAATGAGATCGGAGGCTGTTCTTATGTGCAAGGGAAACTTCATAAAATGTTCCAATGCGTTCAATTTGTTTTAACTCCCAAGAATGTTGTAACAACCAATTACCAAAATTAGGAAGTGCAATTTGGTTTGTTTGCAATATTTTGCAATTCTCTCAGAAGCTTTGTGTACAGATCAAAACTGAAGCATAAAAGCTTTGTGGAAAGCTGGATAGTTCAGATAATTTAACAACAGTTTAAAGCCAATCCATTTTCCAGTGGAAAATTTGCTACTTCTGAACTTGTGAAAATGTTTTGCATTTGAGTCTTGGATTGTTTTGACCTCCTCTTTCCGGAATTAATTCAGTCTCTGTCCTTTGATTTCTTCTCCCCTTTATTTCATAGGTTCTTGAATCAGCTCAAGTGCACTGTGGACCTTTTAATTCTCAGAAAAGCTCTGTGATTTAAATGGTGTCCCATTTCATTCTTCTTTTTTTTTTTTTTTTTAATCATCAGTTTGATCTTCATTACAAACAGAGACTTTAAGACTAGTCAAATAGTGACTTTGTTGGTTATTTAAGATGCAGAAAAGGCCAGCCCAGTGAACATGGAGTTATTTTCAGGCAGTTAAGCCACTAAATCAGCAAAATCTAAAAAAAGGCTCTATAACTTGCTGGTTAAGGAAATATGTGCTTGTGAGGCACCATTCCCATTACTGTTTTCTTCAATAGCCCCATCATGTGTGCATGGTGAGTATATAGTGCTACCCTTTCCATTGGAAGATGCCAGTCCTGTTTACTAGAAATAGGAACTTAGTTTAAATATGTGTGCAAAAAGGGACTTAACTGAGTCTCACCTTACTGATACTCCATATTTCTTCATTCTTTTAACACAGTTTAATCATCACTTAAGCAGTTTCCAGTAGCTCTCTTCATTCTCCCCATAAGTTGCAGAGAAAACCCAGACACCCGATGCAGAGCTAAAGATTCCCTCTAGTCACAGAGAGCTGTAAAGTGGGATTCTTCTGTAACCACCTCTTAATGTTTTTCTACTACAGCTGGTAAACAAGTAGGAAAATATTTTTTATAGGGTGTGCGTATATATATATATATGTATATATACACACACATGTTTGTATGTGTGTTTATGTGTATGTATAACAGTTTTAATTAAGTTTTGTTTAATTTTACTTTAGGTTAAAACTGAGACCATCTTTTCTTTAGAACTAAAACACTGGGAGAACTACATGACAGCAGTACAAGTTAATAAGTATTAATTATTAAATTGTTCATTTCAGCCACAAGAGAAGAGCATAAGGAACAGGTTGTGAGATGAGGTAGACAAAGTCCACAAATAATTTTACAGAAAAAAAAAGATTTTTTTTTTTTTTTTTTGGTCTGATCAGCATTTTGAATCAAGTATAGTGATGGAGGAAGGTGTTGTGTCTGTGTTTGTTTTCAAGTGGAAGAAGGTTGGCAGCAGCATTTGGAACACACGGCATAAGTCTGGGAACCGGGCCTTACAGCCATCATAAAGAAGTGAGATTCAGCTTCCAAGAAGAGAAGAAAGTAAAGAGATATAATTGGGTGAGTTACATGAGTTATGATGTGAAAGCTATAGTGTAATGACCATGTTGAATGCACACACAGAAAGGGAAAGTGCTCAGTGCCAAATTGGATGCCAGATTTCTGGCTGGCAGAGGTGAGCAAGAAATTCAGTAAGGAGAGGGCTGTGTATGTAGGTGGTTCTCTTAACTCATCAAATGCTCTTTGAGACCTTTGACTACAGAGAACAGAGGTGGGATCATTAATTTAATGAGTCAGGGTAAACAGAATTAATAGACTGCAAAAGAAAAGAACACAGTGGCAGCTACATTCCAGAGGAGGCTGTAGATACCACAGTAGATTGCGGGGCTGTCAGAGGCCAGTCCAGTTAGTGCAGTGATTTCTGACCTTAAATGGGATGAAGTCCTCACCTGGGTGGGGGATTCCTGGAGGGTGAATTTAGTCCATAAGACATCTCTTCTCTATAGCTGCAGAAAGTATGAAGAAGCTGTTTCACGGGGAAAGGTTTCAGTTAGGGAGATTTTAAGTAGAAAGAGTGTGCTTGTGGGCACCTTAAAATTATCTGTGGCCAGTGGCTGCAAATAGGGAGAAGGAAGCCAAGAAATCTTTTTATTTTCTCACACTATTTCTTAAGGGTAAGAGTTCTATTTTTTTCCACCATCTAAAAAAAGGATCTGCATTTGCCTATTGGATCAATAAGGCATAGTCAGCTCCAAGATAGAAATATACAACATGATTACTTTCAGGTAATTAGAAGGTTTGTATTTTACTTCACATTCCTGAGAAATCTGTCTAGGCATTTCTACCTCATCTGACTAAAGCCTTCATGTAGAAGGGCAATCTGCCTATCAAAGAAATTGGAGGGAATATATAGACCCCATTTCCATCCAATCAAAGATGTTTTGTATTCACAGTCATTAACTGTGCAATTTGCATTTGTGTAGAAAGTAACAGAGGAAATATCCCAAGTTCATTATCAAAAGGTAATGAAGAATATCCCCACAAATTCATATGATCTGGACTGGAATTCTGAAGAAGTTGATAGAATTGGGGAAAAACAGAAGGATTTGGCATGAAGGAATGAGGAGGATGGGGTTTATGAAAGAAAAAGTTTGAAGTCTTCCAACTTCACTCAGGAAGTGTTAGTTCACTCAGTTAGGAAACTTGCACACTTACTGGCCATCCAGGATGGCACAGATCTTGTCAATATCAGCGGAGTAACATTTTCACAAAGATGAACTGCCACTGAGTCATACAGAAACACTTTTGCCTTCAACATCAGGCAGGTATTTTGGGAAGATAAGTCCCTGTATTATTAATTATGACACTTTAAAAATGATTCTGTTCCTTGGGGACAAGAAGACAAACATTTATCTCTGTGGTAATATTTCACAGAGCACTCTAAAAGCATCAAAGAAGTGAAAGATCTTGTTCCTGGTGTGTATTTCCTTTGGGCTAATCTTTCAAGGCTCCAAAAGGTGTTGAGATATGGTTGATGTTATGAAACCTTCAACACTAAAGCAGATGTACATAGTTCCTCTTTTGAGAAGTCTTATTCTGATCTCTGGAGACCCATATAGCGGTCCTCGCTAAATCATTTTGAGCAGAAGGGGAATGTGTCCAGAGCATTAAAGAAGCAACAATCTGTAGATGAGCATTATATATGGAGTTTGAGGAGGCAGGCACTTTTCCTCCTGTATTATAAATAAACAAGAAGTCACTGTGTAGTGTGTGGTGATGAAGGCTGATACTCTGCTGCTGAATAAAAAAATGTTATGCAAAGACTCAAACTATTTCCTTATATAGTCCTCAAGAAATAGGCTTTTTTTTCCTGATACATCTAAAAATTCATTGGCAAATATGCAACTGATCAAACCTCGCATGGATGCTAACACCCAGATGTGTGTGTTTGTGTGTGGAAGCAATCTATGGCTAACAGTAACAGAACTCTTGGATAGAGAAATCCTGTAAAAATACAGATTAGGCACACATAAGTTAAATGTGTCTAACTAACGTGCCAAGAATTTATAGTTTTATGAAATCTGTATTATGTAAAGGTCTTTTAATATTTCCTTCTAAAAAGTTTTCATTAATGTACAGAAAAGAGGATATGGATTTCTGTAATAAGCAGAAGAACCTCCCCATTTTATGTACAATAAATGAAAATAACCACATGACTTTGATTCCTTGGCTTCCCTCTCTCTCCAGACCTCCATTAGAAGTTAGTACTTGAGTAATCCAATCTTTTAATAATAAGTTATAAAATAAAACCATGCAATTTAGCAATAATAATGAATGGTAAGTTTGCTTGCTGGCTGGAACTCCTGATTGATATTGCCCAATATTTGCTGTGCTCAAAATCTAGCAGTACTGAATTTGACCATTGGGATTGACAATCTAGATTTACAACAGAGACAGAAAGAAATGCAAATGCAGATCTGAATTTTATATTTTAAGTGAGAAAGTATCTATATCTGAGGAGAGTCTTGTCTTGTTCATCTTCATATACTTCAGTAAATTATGAGGAGCTATTTTAAAATGAAGAAATGACAGAGGAGGTAAAAATCAGAAAAAATTCAGAGCTCAAATGGAGGGTTAATACTTGCAGGAATTCAAGCCTGCATTCCTTAAAAACCTTCCCTTTGACTTATCATCCAGGGGAAAGAAAAGAAAAAAAATTATCTGTGTGTACCTCTATGTCTTGTAATATATATTATACTTATGTGCACACACACTTGTATATATATATCAACTTTATTTACTCTTTTAATAAATATGGCCTAGCCTTTCTTTGCATCATCTTGTGAAATCAGTTGAACTTTTGCTGAAGTAAAGAGTTCTTACTATTGTTGCATCAGGTACATTTCTTTGACAAATAATGAAACATGCAATAGATTTGACAAAACTTTTTTTTTTATTATTATTATTATTTTTTTTTTTCTGGTGGAGCTATGGAGCATTTGAAGCCAGCAAACAGGTTCTGGTGGAAGGTTTCTATTGATACAGAATATGCTCTTTCACTATATGTAATTTTATATATACATAACATATACCTATAGGTTGCTCTGAAAATAATGCTTCCTATTTATTTCCATGGAAACTATAACAGCACTGCTGATAGAGGAAATTCTCATTCTCTACAAAACCTTTTTTTGACATAGTCTCCACCATTAGTTAAGCATTTTCACTTTTGGTGAACAAAAGCCTGCATGCCGTGCTCATAAAAATCTGTACCCATGGAAGTGGCTCACTGTTTCACAGCTGCTATGATGGCATCACTGATAGGAAAACGTTGCCCATGCATTTCATCCTTCATCATCCAGAGCAGATGGAAGTCAGAAGGTGCCAAATCTGGACTGTACAATATGTGTTCAGTAGGACACTTCAGACAATTTAGGCAATGTGCATCACAGTCTTCAAGCTGGTGGGTTTTTTTATATATTGCAAGAGAAAGGTTATTTTCTTTGGCCTGACTCTGAAAGGTCGAGCCTTCATTTTAAAAACATGATGTAGCAGTCAGATTTCTTGGTTTATTTGGGCTCCAGAAAATCTGTAAGAATCATCCCTTTCCTATTCTGAAAGACTGCACATCACCTTACCCACTGAGGGCTCTATCTCGAACTTTTTCTTTGATGAAATATTCACTTCTTGCCACTTCGTGGACATGGATTTTTCACTCTGGCTTGTAGTGGTGACACCATGCCTCACTCACTAGTAATGATGTAATCCAGGAAACTGGATGAAGTAACTATTACCTTCAGCCTTGTATTGTTCAATAGGTACTGAGAAACTTACACGTGATGCTCTTTCTGTTCCTGTTTGAGCATTTGCAGGACTCACTTTGTGCAGACTTTGTGATATTCCAAAATTACCATCATTATTTTCAATGCACTGAAGCTGATATTCAACTCTGTACTCAGTTCTCTGGTTGTAATTCACCAATTAGTGTGGATGAGATGATTGAAACAGTCTTCATTTTGTGGTGTGACAGCCATGCATGTCTGTCTGGAATGTGGCTTGTCTTTCATGTCTCTGTTGCCATTGCTGAAATGCACCATCCACCTCCTCACTGTGCCCACATCCACTGTTTGGACTCCATTAACTTTCAGCATGTGTCAATGAATGTCGAAAGATGCCATTTTTTTTTACACAGAGGAATTCAGTGACACACCTTTGATTTGCATGCACTTCCATGTCAGAGGCCATTTCTTCAGACTGTCCCTCTGTTGCCATCTGTCACATGGCAACAAAACAGAATATCTGTGGGAAATTTCAAGCTCTACGAACACGTTACCGCCTCTGATGTCGTGGGCAAACATAATAAAATAGGAGGCATTAATTTCAGAGCAGCAAGCTTGGTAGAAAGGTGAATTAATACAGATTAGATTTTCTGTAATACCTTCACTGAAGACTGAGATGAGTTTGGGTCATACATCAAAGCAACATGGTCACCTGAAGTGGTCTCTTATTTGAGAAAGGCTGAACCTTGCACACAAATATGCCTTTCTGTTTCTTTCCTCCAACACTGTATATTATCATGGGTAGATTATCACTGAGAGATCATGTTACTTTCTGGTATCTTATGACTGTGGTTCAACTTCAGAAACAAAAAAGAGTAAAGGAAAGCTGCCAAGTCCATTTGCTTTGTGTGACTCCCCACTTCAGATGCACAAGGAAAGGCCTTACCTTTTTAACCTGTGCAGCTGATGCTTGGATTTTCTTTTCATATATATGCTGCAAAAGTAAACCGCGGACTTGAGAGGAAACGAGCTTAATATGCCATGTGCTTCCTATTTGTTGAAGGTATCAGCACTAGAGCTCCCTCAGTGTGCTAAAACATGAACATTTTTACAGTGCAGCAGATTATGGAAGCTGCTCTTGATAAATTCCAGTAAACGCATTTTACATTCCTCATGCACCTTTCTGTGAATGACAGATTGCCACATTAAGTCTCTAAAGAAGTGCTTGACAAGGGTGATTCAGCACATGAAGAAAGTGGACCATGTGTCTGACTCGGTATCTCTACATTTCTTAACACATTTACACAGGACTGCAATGTTGTTCTCCCTTGTGTGCCAGAGCACGAAGAAGCTTCAGTGTAAGACACTCATTCACACCACCAGGTCCTCTGCTGAAATACACATGAAAACAAACATATGGATGTGTTTACCTCTCCTAAAAGTATAGGAAAAATAATAATAATTTCACTGGAATTTTTTCTTCTTGTCTGGGAGTTAGAGGAAAAGGTACCATGGCAGATAGACAAGCTTTAGAAGATGTGCTTGTTGGGAAGAAGGTTGTAGAGATTAAACAGCCAGCCCAGTAAGTACTAGAAACCTTTGCTGGAAAATAGAGCAACCAGGCTAATGTACTTTTTCATATTGTATTCTGAAGGTACTTTTTAGAAGAAATCATTTCAAAACAATGCTCAGTAGGACTCTGCTGGGCACAGAAATCACTGCTGGTTTTGTTGATTCAGTGGAACTGATGGGAGCAAAGTTTGAAGACATAAATATATGATTGTATGTGATTGTCTACATACTTAAAATATGTAGAATTAATTGTTAAGTGCACTCTAAATAAGGCACATAAATTTACCTGTAAATGCTAGAAGCATTGTGCCTGTTCAGAAACATTAACTGAAGAATTTATCAAATGCAAATTTTAACTTCTTTCAGATCTCTATTTTGTGGTTTCTTCTCCAGCATTCAAGGTGGATGCACAAGATTCCATTTCCAGTTTTGACTTAATGGCTTCACTTAAGAAAGAGGAGGAAAAAAGTTTTATGAATTAAACATTACATATGATTTGGGAAAGCACTTTCAGGAATTCCAGAAAGAAGAGCAGAAAAAAATTTGCTCAGCGTTAGTAGCAACAATGAATAGTGCTGTTACCATCTAAAAGCACACACTTTTCAGTTAGACTTGGCTGGTGAAATGTAGAAGCTTAATGTGGATTACACTTTTTAAATCTTTCAACATAAGAAAAATAGAAGAGATGTAGTGCGTTTTCATTTCAGCGTACTTTGAATGCAGTCTCAAGATAAATGTGAGAGACGGATTGTGTTTGTACCTGTGCCAAACATTGTCGTCAGATATTGCTGTTTTGTTTCATCAGCCAGATGAATTTACACTGGGACATCGATCAGGTACCTACATTTAAAAGAGCGCACTGTCAAATTAGGGGATAGAAAGAGCACATTAGGAGAGAGAAATTATCTGGTGAAAGATTTAAAGACTGACTCACTTGTGTTTTGTTTCATTAAATGTGGGGTAGTCCTCTTTCATTTTCCATTTAGTATGAACATTCATAGACTCCATTAAAATACTGGTTTTGTAACGAACTAGCTGACTTGGGACACGCATGAACCTCATTGGAAAAAACACACCTCACCTTCTTAAAGGTTCTAGATCACTCCAAAATCTGGGGCCCAAGATGGGCAATCCTACTGGCTGTCTTGGGGAGACACCTGTGTCCTCCTGTAATTTACAGGGCTGTAGAGTCAACACTTGGCTTTCAGGGGTTGGTGGTCTCCATAGGGATGAGGAAGGATTGGGACGGGGTGTAGGTGTATGCACTCCACAAAAGGTCTCAGAAAATGTTCTCAAGAAGCAAACACTCACACAAACACAAAACAAACAAAAAGACAAACAACAGAATCAATCAAGCAACCAGCTAACAAAAAGCTCAGGAAAACTGTGCTGACATACTCTCAGAATTTAATCCTGACTCTTAACTCTACTACGATACGTAGAGTTAAGGGAGTAACAAGTGGTAATAAAAGAGGGCTTGGCTCAGGCTGGAGTGCGAGGTGTGTAACAGGTTGGGCAGACCCACATGGGTAGAGATAAGAAAAATAGGGCTTTAGAAAAAGTTTCAAAACTTACAACTTACTGTATTTAGTCTTTGTTGATTTTTGTATTTCACCACAGATTGATGCTATTATTCAAGTCAGCAAAAAGCCCTTGTCACAGAATCACAGAATCACCAAGGTTGGAAAAGACCTACAAGATCCAGTCCAACCATCCACCTATCATCAATAGTTCTCACTAAATCCTGTTCCTCAACATTTTGTCTTTCAAAAAGTTTTGTCAAGGATTTGTTTTTAAATAAAGGCAGGCAAAATAAATTCTACATTCTATGTCTTTTAAGTCATTGCCTTCGTGGCAATTTCATACACATTCATTTCTAAACAGAAAATACTTCTGCTTTCCATTTGATATCTTTATGATACCTGTATATATCTCTGTAGGTATGGCCAGCACCCAGATGATTCTGCAGCTCACCTCCACTCTGCACAGCAAGACCAGGCCATTGCTTGTTCAGGCAAGAGCTACACAACGCAGAGACCTCCATGTGTTTTCATCTTCATGACAAGTGCTAAAAGTCAGTTGGCTATTCTTGCAAGGATCCATTAAGGCAGGATGCATTGGAAGAAGCATCTGGCTGTAACGGAATCTTTCCCCACACATCTTTCTGCTTGCTGCTCTCTAAGTAACAAGACATTACTGCTTTGTTGAAGTTGAAAGACACAGCAAACTACTAGGAGCTTTAGTTGTACCCAAAATCTTGGAAGTACCTAGAGGAAGTACCTTGCTACTCCAAAGCCAGACTTCATGGCTTAAACACACGCGTTGTAGAAAGTGCTCTGTATAAATTGTCAGCTTTGAAACCAAATACATCCACATCTAGCCTACACCGTAAATCAACCTTCTGTACTACTTTCCAGTCAAGCTCCATTACACAAGTAGCTTGATTTAATTCAAATGTTTTATGGCAGAGGTGTATTTTAGCTAAAATGATATTTTCACACAGAGGGGGGGGAATAAACAGGACTGCTTTACTAATGAAGTGAAGGGCTGCAGGATGGTAAGAGACAGGTACAGGAAGCGTAGGTGTGGCACCAAATCCCTATCTGGCCATTTCAATACCTGTGCTTAGTACCTAGGTATCCTTACATTCAACTCTGTAACAGCCCCACAACATATCAGTTTCCTGTGAAGGTTTTCACTCTTCATATCCAAAAGGACATTTCAATTAACGCATGCAAAATGTTGCCCCAGGACTTCATAGTGAAAAGAGCCAAAACCCGAACCTTCTTTTGTCCCCAGAAATATTCATTCATCATTAAAATTATTAGAGAGGAAATGGCTGAAATATGTCATTACAAAATTGAAGTATTTCCTTTGATTGTTTAAAATCTCTGATTTAATTTGTTTCATACATATTTTTTCCCTTTTACAGTGTAGAACACTGCATCTTACCATATGTGAAATGTTTCTTAAAGGTGTCAAAGTGACTTGTCATGGGTTTGGAATGAGAACTAAATTAAATGTCCATACTTTAACATACTTATATAAATAACGAGATATTCCAGTATAAACCATTCATTTGGCAGTCATTTCTACATCAGCAACTACAAAGTGCTATAGATTTCCTGCCTGACTTGACACATGCAAAGAAAATCAGGAAGGAAAATGTGTGTGTATGCGTATATTTTATAGAAAAAGACAGCCTCTTGTATTCTATTGTCATTAAAGTATTTCTAGCTTTTTTGGAAATAGTGCAAGAGGTTTAACAAAATGTTCTGCATTCACAGCAGAACGCTGGAGCATTCAGCTGCTTCCAACTGCACTCCAAAACTTGTTTCCATAATTTAGAAACAGAGAGGGTGGAAATGGATAACAAAGTCATTAATGAGCTCCAAGAATGATTTATTATGGGCGATATAGCGTCTTTGCTTTTAAGAAAAATACATTAAATAAAAATTCTTCATAAAATAAAAATTCTTTCCTATTGAACATTGTGCAGAATTTGGTTTATTAGTGTATTATATCACCACATTGCCTGGTCTGGCATTTCTCATACAAATAATGTTTCAAAGTGCTAGCAAAAGCTTGTGAACTACAGTGCAAACCATGTTAGGAATACTGCTTGTAGAAACACAACAGTAGCAAAGATCCTTCTGCTGGAGTTCTGGAGATAGTTAACACTGGAAGATCCTTTTATCTTGCATCTGCTGCACAAACTTGCATGACACTTGGCTAAATAATAAAAAATTATAACCGATATTTAGTTCCAATCTTTCCATCTGCCTAACTTCTTTATGCCAGTTTTTAGGTTGCCAGTCCTTCTCATGCACACACACATCCATGCATGCATACTCTGAAAGCACCAGTGGTCAGTGAACAATGTCATCTAGGTGGAAATATCACATAGCTATAAAACAACGTCCAGATTTGCTGGCAGCAGGTCTGAGGATCAATCCTGGACCTACTGAAGGGAATGTCCTGGGCCCTCAGACCAGAGGCATGCAGTCTGGACCAATGCATCCACAGACTTTTCTTACCAGTAGGGTCTGCTGGATTTATGTCTGGGACATTCTAGTTGGGGTGTGAGTAGAAAATTTTATTCTTTCCAGGCATGGAGTAAATGTCTGTATTCCTGCCTTTATATTTGAACATGATTCATCTCCAAAAACTCTAACCAACACCTTGGATGATCTCTGAAATCTCTCAGGAAGAAGTAATAGAAAAAAGCCAAACCATTCCAATGCTTGTCTATGCTGCGGTGACTTAAAACATTAAGGTAATATGGCATATGATGGTGTCAAAAGTTCATAAATGTAGCTAATAGGTATTCAGCTTGTACAGTTGCATGATAATGCAGAAATGTTTCTAATTAGTTATACGCACATTGCAACTAGCTTCAAAACAGTGGTTAGTTACTCAAAATCACAGACCTTCAACAAACAATTTGATTTAGTGACAGTCTTCACTTAATCACACCAAATTAGACCATTTGACATTTTTATTGCAACCAACAACTGAAACCTGTAGAAACGAAGCAATAATCTTGCACTGCACTCTTCACAACCTCAGTCTGTCATGAAGGGAAGAAATCTGTCTTTCTGTGGTACAATATGAGAAGCTGCAGAATCCCAGCAGGGGTAGTGGTTTGCCTTCAGCACCCATCCATGATCTGGTTGCATCTATAGCATACAGAAGTACATGATAGCAATACCCCTATGGAATCATAAAATCACAGAATTGTTTGAGTTGGAAGGGCCATTATAGGTCTCCTAGTAAAACTCCCCTGCCATGAACAGTGTCCTTAGCGCACTATTGCAGTAACACAACAGCATTTTTTCCCTTGCATCTGCCAGGGATAATTTACTGACAATTTATTATTCATTTGGCTGTGGGTTGTATAGATTTCATTAATTAAACATCAATTTCTGTAAAAATTTTAAACCTGTATGAATCAACAAGATTGCTTTTGATAGAAACCCCCTCTAACAAGCAGTCTCACCAAGTATTTCCTGAGCTAAGCTCTGCTTTTCTGGCTTAAGAATATGTATCAATAAGTCAGGGGTATAAATGTGCCAAAGGGGCTGCAATTATCCTCAAAACAAACATTGGAAAAAAAAAAAAAGAAAAAGACACAAGTCATTGAAAAACATGAATAAGGCACTTCAATTTACCTTGTCCACAGTGACTCCATTAAATAATGATGTATTTATTATGATTACAGCAAGGTTTGAAGCCTATTTTATTTTTTAACTGCTTAACTTTTGTTTTTCCTTTCTTCTGTTTACAGCATCACCACTTGAGGTGCAACTACAGTCATGTTGTACAATCATGTTTTAAACAGATTCATCACATACAGCCCAGTCCAAGAAAAAGCCCTTCAAGTTCCTGCTGCCTACCTCTAATGTAAACAGCTGAACACACAAGTGGAATACCGGTGGGAAAGGGTGATACAAGGTACTGAAGTAATCAAAGCCCCTACTCCACCATCACTTCTTCTGAACACTGGTCAGATGGTTCTTGTTTCAGAGGCCTTTGGGGTAAAAAGTGAATGGGGGAGAAAGACAGATTATGGATTGTCCGCTTCCATATTCTGATTCCAATATTGCAGAGAGGTAGAAGTCTAGGAAAACTCATTAGTTTATTCTATAGCCATATTTTTTTTTTAATATATTATACTCTGAAGACTAAGCAAGTCCCTGAGTAATATTTTGAATTGTTCATTAAACAAAAAACATTCTAAGAATGCCCACAGAGGTCACATATTTTCAAGTGTTAGCACTTCTTTCTTTACGGTGCTGTGCCCTTCTTTCTCCCAAAGTTTTATTTCTCCATTAATTTTAATTAGACTTTCAACATATTTCAAATACACTTAAAGTGCAGCATCCAGCTGGGAAAGGTTGCTGGCCAAAACTGGCCAGGATGTCACAGAGATACATATTCCCACATCATCCCATCCTTCATGTCTAAAATGTTGCAATTTCCATCCGACACAAATACACACACATAGAGACTCAAACACTCGCATGAATGTGTTACTGGAGAGTAGTCTTATGAAAAGATCTTATGTTAGTAAGACAGAATAGATAGAATAGAGTGGAATAGAGAAAAAGAAAATAACTCAGTTACAAGGGACCTACAAAGTTCATTGAGCCCAACTGCCTGACCACTTTAGGGCTAACCAAAGGTTAAAGGATATTATTAAGGACATTACTCAAATGCCTCTTGAAAGCTGACAACATTATCAAAGAGCTACAGTTACCCGAAGTTCCCCTTGGCTCTTATTACATTGCACAGTGTCATTTAGCAAATACTAGTGTTGTTGGATTATCAGTGCCAGGAGAACAGTGAAAAGAGGCACAAGTACCACTGGCCACTTATAACATCTGCTGGAGGGAATGGTGCCCTCTAAGCTGTGAAACACAACCTCGCAAACCAAAATGACTTCCTGGAGCCATGAACATCGTGGTTTTCTGGTGAAGCTCTGAGGTAGTGCTTCTAGCACTGTGGTCAGATTGGCTTTTCAGTGCTTGGGAAGAGTGAAGGCAATGTTATATTACCTGTATACCATTGATCTGACTTTGGACTAAGCAAGTTCAGGCTGGTTAACACGGAGGAGCCCTTCATGCATTCAGTATTCAAACCATAGTTAGAAATATACTCTCATGAATACCTAACACATTTTTCATTCATACTGCGATTTGTCAATCAGAGATGTGAAATATGAGTGGATTATTAGAACTATTTATTTATTCTAATACATTCTTCTGCATAAAGTGCTGGAAGGTGTTATTGGTTGCTGCAGCCCAATTCAAGGCCA